TTTAAATCAATCTCCATCTGCACATGAAGAATCCTGTGAACTTTGCAGAGTCACCCCCAAATAAAGCAGGTGCTCTTTTGGTCCCACCACCACTGGTGCTTACTCCTCAAAACATAATGCGGGCTTCTGTATCTCTTTTGGGATCTCTTATTCCTGAACTAAGATCTCCGAAGGGGAATAGCCTAACACAGGGCCCAGGTGCTGTGTAGCTTTGCCCTTGCTGCTCTTGCTCCTCCTCATCCTCCTCCAGCTGCTGGTGCTCGTGGCTGCTGCAGTTTGGTGCTGGGAAACCTCAAAGCCTTGAAACCTTGTCCTTGGGAGCAAGCCTGCTGCTCGCAGCCCGTGTTGGGAAGGAGGTGGAAACCAAAGCTGGGAGGAACCCAAAGTGGTTTTGCTTTCCTAGAAAAGCTTCATGGCTTTTTGTTGCTAGACACAAAGCTTTTTTTCTGAGCTTTGCGTGAGTGCAGTTTGAGACAGCTGTGTTATTGCAAGGCGTTGCGCTTTCAACAGTCAGAATCTGTTTAAAAAAGAAAGAAAGAAAAAAAAAAAGGAAAGAAAAGAGAAAAAAGAAAAAAAAAAAAAAAAAAAAAAAAAAAAACAAGAAAAATGACTCTTTCCAGGCCCCTGCTGGGAGAGAGGCTTCGTTGTGCTGGGCACTGGTCTGGTAGCAGAGGAACAAGCAGCCCTGAGGACGTGCTGTAAGTGGCCTAAATCCACGCATAATGTGAAAGTAGTGGGGATTCCACTGAAGCTCGTTGGATGAACTGAACTGTTCTGCAAGTACAGTATTTGCTCTTCAGTGGGGAACTGGCAACTGATTCTCCTAAAAAGAGTGGGTCTCTGCAGCACAGCCTGTTCGGTTCATCAGCTCTAGAGGTAAGCAGTGCTAAAAAGTAAAAATAAAATAAAATCTTTTAGTGTTTTTGTATCTTTTGTGGAGAGTCAGTGACTGGCCACTGGATCTTGCCCTGTGAGGCACCTGCATGGTGCCTATGAGGCTCTGGTGACCTCGGTGGGGTTGCGTCTCCAGAAGGAAGGGGAGAAAATAGGCCTTGGAGATGAGAACAGAAAGCTTTATTTTTCTAGCCTGGAAGACAAAGAAATGATGCGTCAAAGGAGGCCAAAAGCTGAGAGATTAGGAACCACAAATTGGGCAGAGCTCTGAGCTCAATGGTGGCAACCTCCTTGGCCTCCTGTGAGGACAGCTTCAGCACAAGCCATGGTGCCGCTTCCTGCCATCACCCTGCAAAAGGGTCAAGGCTGATGAAGAAAGGCTTTGTGAGAGCTGCTGCTGCTCCTGGAGCAAAGTCTGTGCTCATCCTTGAAGAGGAGGACACCCTGAGGCTGTGGGGACTGCCTGTATGTTGCCAGCCTCCCCTCCCTGCCCGCTTCTCCTCACACACAGCAGCAGCTCCTCAGCAGTGAAGCTGCGAGGGGGGGTGGCAGCAGCAGGCCTTGGCCTTTGTTTTTGTGAGCCCAGTGAGTAAATTCAAGCTGGAAGCGATTGCAAAATCTGGATTTTGGAAACAAAAGGCCAGACCGCTTCTAGGCCCGGAGGTTGTTCCTCAGGGCTTGTACCAGTTTCCCTCCATTTCCACCTCAGGCTGAGCAGAGGGAGCGGGGCTTTCCCGGCCCCCCACAGCATCCTCCTTTCGTCTCCTCTCTGCTGTGAACTCAGCCACAGGGGGAAACGGGGATTCCCGGGTTGATGGCTTCCCTCAGGAAAGCTGCCACAGCTGGAATCCTGCACTATGGCTGCCTGTACGGTTGCCAGACCCAGCTAGTGCAGGATTGGCTTTGCTCTCACAGGAGTACACAAAGGGATTTTATGGATGCTGAATTATGTAAACAGGGGCTTGGTTCTCTTTGTCTGTTCCAGGGTGGAAACGTCAACAGAAGAGCCAGGGGACCACAAAGCCAAGTGCAAATGCTGTCATGTCACCAGCCAGCATGTAAGGATGGAGAGCAGCTCTCCCTTATTCGTCCTCCCTGCCCTATCTCGTTGGACAGCCTGGGCTGCCTCTGCCTGACGAAATCCTCGCTCATCCTGGCCAGCAGCAGCACTGTGAGAACAAATCTGCCTTGCAGACCAGCAGGCAGCAATGCTGCTCTTCGGGGGGGAAAGGAAAACGAACAGTTTGTTTCTTAATGTAAAGCACAGCCCTCTGTGCTCCTTGGTTAATAAATACTTGGCAGGAGCAGAACTGTAAAGCAGGTGTCTAAGGGAGAATGAAGTGCAGGGGCTGTTCCTTCCTGCAGGAAGATCTGCGGCTCTAGCTGGGGGTATGTGCACATGCACGTGCTGTTTCCTGTCACCACACTTTCTCTTGTCCCATTCACTGGTGTGAATTTTTCCAGAGCAGCTGTTTCTACTGTATTTCTACTGAAATAGTCAGGGAGGGATGTGGGCAGAAGGAGGGAGTGTTATTGCATTATTTGCTGCTCTGGAGCCAGACCGTGACTGGGGGCCTGTTCCCTAGGGAAGATCTCTGCAAGCAGGACCTGGAGGATGATGGAGTTGCTCCATCAGTTTTACCCTTCCTGCACCTGCAGCTGATGTTAAAACGGTCTGCATCTCTTGGGTGCCTCAGGCTGGAGCAACACTACCACCCTATGGCCACCTGCTTCAGCAGGGGTTGTGTCCTGTACAAGTGTGGCATGTGAGCACTGTGTCCATTAAAACCCTGTTTCCTGAGGAAACACAATGCTCAGGCACCAGTGCCTGCATTGCGCCTACAAACACTGCGCCAGCATCAAAGCTGGGCACGGAAAGCAGGCACTGGGCCAGGAGCCCTGCAGCAAGGGGAAAGCGTGGTGATTCCCGCCTGGATTTTCCTCGCTTCAGATCTCTGCTCCAAGTGCTGATTTTCTGGGCCGTGTGCTATCAGCAGTATCAAAGTCTGCGATAAAACACTAAAAAGCAGGAGCAGAGGGATAAGAGAACACAGAGTTGCTCGAGTGTTACTCAAAAGGTTTTAATGTACATGCTGTATCCACATGAAAAGGGAAAAACATCTTACAGAGATGAAGGACGTGATTTCATACCACCAAAAGCCATACATTTCAAAGTGACTGAAGCCAATAGCAGTAACAGATCTTTTTATGGCATGTGTTAACCGGTCCAAGAGGCAAGGAAAAGGGAAGAGCAGCTATGCTCTACCTGCTGGCTCAGGCGGTTGGACCCATCAGGTAGACAACCACTCTTGTTTTTTTTTTGGGGGGGTGGCTTTAACAGGTATAAATTTGGTCTAAGTAGACAACGACACTTCACCGTCACCATTCCTGGGGGGTGTTCAAGGAAAGGTTGAATGTGATGCTTAGGGACATGGGTTAGGGGGTGACGGTGGTAGTGGGATGGTTGGACCAGATGGTCTTGGAAGATTTTTCCAACCCTAATGAATCTGTGATTATTATCCAGACAAGCCACGTGTGGCTGTCTGGCTGTAATGCTGTAAGCAGTGGCCCTGCACCAGCCCATCAGCTGCGCTGAAGAGGCAGGAAGGAGCCTGGCCCTGTGCTGCCCTGGTGAAGCTGCTGTGCCTGGTACAGCTCTGCTCGGGCAGGAGAGGCTGGCCCAGTGAGGAGATGGGGCCAGAGGATGGCTGGGTTTCTCTGCCTTCAAATGACATGGGCAAACCTCCTCCTGCTCGAGAAATGGGGCTTGTAACGTTGCAGACAGCTCTCACCGATGTTAGTTGGCACTGTGTATTTTCCACTGTTTCCAGCATCAATTAAATGAGTAAATGGTTAATTTGATGGCAGGATGATTTGTCATTAACGTATGTGCTCTTGCCAGCCTGCTGCTGGCCCACAGCTACCCTCAGTGAAGCCTCAGGAGAAGGCAGAGAGGCCGGGCTCTGAAGTCCCCCATGGAAGGGTACAGGTGCTCTCCAAAGCATCCCTCAGCTGCCACTGATCACACCACAGCCTGGTTTCACCAACAGGTCCCTGCAAAGCTAACCTGGTGCTGGGGACACTTTGCAGCCCTTGCTCAAGCCCAGGAGCCTTCGCCTGGTGGCCCCCATGCCACTACTGCAAGCCAAGCCCCACTACCTACTTGCTGGCAGATTTTTCTCTCTCACCAGGCTCAAAACCATTCACAGGAGGGGAAAAGTTGCTTGCCCAGAGACAAGCATTTACTCAGCTAAATCCAGAGGGAGAACATAAGAGAAATCCCTTCAGAGGAGGTGACCCCGGGGGCCACAACATGGCAGAGCAAGGAACCATCTCAGCGCTGCGCTGCCCTAGATGTGACAGCACTGAGCGGGCCAGACCTGTGAGCCACCCCAGAGCCAGGCGCTGGCAGTCACCAGGAGGTGACCACCCTCCGTCTGGCAGAAAAGCAGCCGGCACAGTCAGGCTCCAATCCACAGGACCCAAGTAAAATTTCGGAGCAGACGTGGTCTTCATTTTCCCTAACCAGTGGAAATGTGGTAGTGTGACAGTTACACAGGAGAAAAGCTGATGCTAAGCAGCAAAGAAAGGTGGTGTAGACATCATTAAATGAAATAAAAAGGAAGAAAGCACAGGTCTAATAGCTGCAAAGACTGCAACAGAGGATGTGCCCCCCCAAAAAAGCCTGTGGGGAGGGAAGGCTGGCTGTCAGGGACAGCCCATCCTGCTGGTCCTCATAGTTTCCTAGTAGAGCTCCTCCAGGACTGACCACTCGCCCCCACTAGACCCTACGTACAGGAGCAGCACGCACCAAGACCCTCTTTTCTCTTCCTAGGTTTAGTGAAGCTGTGTTGCCACAGACATCTTCCACCAGTGAGCTTCTGGAGACTCCCTTCCAAGCGTGCAGCTGCTCTGCCATCCTGACCCTTCCTGCAGGTCCCGGCTCAGTAGGAAAGCCTCAGACACAAGCATCCGGATGTGTGGCCGTGCCATATGTACATGGGGCTGCACTGCACAGGCCAAGTGCCAGCTTCTCCTCAGTTGTAGCCCTATGGTTTGTGCAGACTGCTTCACTGTGAATGAACAGAGATTCTGAGAAGCCCGGCTGTGCATCCACACATTTAATAGGCTAGCAAGGTAGAGCACGTACCCTATAAATATTGTTAAGCCCTTTAAAAAAACAATCCCTCTAGTTTAAGTACAATGCCTTCGTCATACAACATGCACGTGAAGAGACAATGTGTCAAGGTGTACACATACCATACGCAGATGTTCTGAGCATGACTTGTAAGAAACCCACTCTCAGTACAAAAAAAAAAAAGTACCCAAATGACAGACCAGAATCTCCCCCTATGAAGAAGGTGACAATGTCCTATTTACAAGAAAATACCGCTTGAGTTAAAAATGCTAAAAACCATTCTCTTGAGTCTGTATAAAAATAATCATGGCTATGTATGCACACACATTTATATACATTTATGGCTTTCACACGTTTCAACCTTCTCCATTAAGTAAGGAAATATAAATACTCCATCAGTTATTTTTTCTGCTCCTCGGGTTTTTCGGCCTCTGCTTCTCCAACTGATAAGGTGCCACTGCCGTATTTTTTCACTCTGGTTTCTACTCTGGCAAGTCTCTGCTTCACTTTTTGTTGAGAAGAGCTGAATTCTGCCAAGAGCCTAGCAAACCTAGTCTGCAGCGTGTCCAGAGCTGTTTCAAGTCTTTCTACTTTTTCTTCCAAGTCTTTTGGGTCAGCTCCTGCTTTTGCTGCTTCCTCGTCTATTAAATTGTCTTTCATCAGAATTTGTCGCCCTTTCTCTTCCAGAGCCTTTTTGGCTTCTGGATATTCTGTGAGGGCCTCCATTAAATCATCCTTAGACAAGCAGAACAAATCAGAATAACCAATACTCCTTATGTTGGCTGTCCTCCTGTTGCCAGATTTGCTACCTTTGATGTTTAGGATGCTGATTTCACCAAAGTAGCTGCCATCGCTCAGGACTACAAATTGGGTTATGCCATCATCTGCCACCACAGCCAATTTTCCCTCTTTGATAATGTACATTTCTCTCCCGATATCTCCCTTCTTGCAAATGTAGTCCCCAGGACTGAAGACCGTAGGTTTCAGTTTCAGCACCAGCTCAATGAGAAGTCCAGCTTCACAGTCCTGGAATATGCGCACCTTCTTCAGCGTGTCCAAGTGGACATTGATGGCAATCTCAGCCTTCAACTTGTCGGGCAGATTTTTGAGAACCTCCTTCTCATCCACCGTTTTCTTGTTGGTCCATAGGTAATCAAACCACTTAATAACCCTGGCTTCCAAGTCCTTAGTCACTTTTCGGAAGTGCATGTACTGCTTAATAGAATCGACTTTGGCCTGGAACTCCGCCCTGGAGGCATTCATGTTGGAAATCATGGAGCCCACGTTACCGACAATGGTGGCGAAGATCAGCACGCCCACCAGGAAGTCGATGACCACGAAGAGATACTCTTCGTCCTTCACCGGGGGCGGTGTTTCTCCAATGGTGGTCAGCGTGAGCGTTGACCAGTAGAGGCTGTAAATGTATTTCCTGGACAGGCGCCCGTACTCCGGAATGGAGACGTTGGGGTAGACCCACGAGTCGGTTCCAAAGCCGATCAGCTTTGAAATGGCAAAGTATATGCACGCGTTCCAGTGGATGATGATAAGGATGTACAAGACAAGATTTCCAATGCGGAACATGTTTGGATAGTTTGTCCTGGTTTCCGTGCGGTCAAAAAACTCAAACAGCCGGGAAATCCTCAACAAGCGGTTAAATCGCAGCTCGGGGTAGTTCAAACCAACCTTCAGGTATGCCAGGTCTGTTGGCAGAAGAGACATCACATCCAGTTTGAACTGCACAGTTTTGGTATAATGGTCTCGTAATTTCTTTTCATCCTGAACTAGCAAGCCTTGTTCAAGGAAGCCTTTAAAGAATAAAAAAAAAGATATGTATTTTACTTGTTAGAATAGAGGGGCAGTTCAGAATTACCACCAACAGTACTGAGTTTCAGATACCTGAAAACATTAAAACTCCCACTGCTACGCATACTGACATTAACAGACTGTGAGATCATTAAATGAAAAACGCTTCATTGTAAATTGAAATATTTCAATTAAGTTTCTAAACTGGTAAATAACAATGTAGAGCATTGACTCCATTACACCACAGTGCTCCCCACAGCTTTCTGCTCTATTCTGGGACAGCTGACTGTCTTTTAGCAAAAAGGACAGGGAGATTTGTATGCATAATTTTTCATGAATTGTTGGCATGACAAATAACCGAAGCTAAGTATGTGTTGAAGCAATTGTGTATAAGACCAGGGCTGAATATTTTTAAATAAATACCAAGAATAAGTAGGTATAATGGATTACCAGAAACTTTTCCAGAACAATATAAATACCCCTGAGATCATGAAATCCATTTTTTCCCCCAAGCGATGCTTTTTCTCTTGTACCCAGTGTTAAAGCTGACAGGAGTTTCTTTTTTCATTCGGAGAAAATGGTTTGCTTTTCTTTGTGAGCTTCCAGTGAGAGAGCTACTAAGCAGAATTTTGTGTGTTAGTATGCTTTTCGTTCAAAAGATTTTGGAGTGCATTAGATTTTAAGAATTATGAGAAGACAAAAAACGCGTCTGTGTAAGACTACTCATAGGAAGGCTGCCTGAGCAGTACAGCTGCAGTGCTGGTTTTTACCTCAGAAAGCTCGAGGCATTAAGTATATTCCACGGCCAAAGTTATTCACTGCAAAACACTCAGTGCAATGACAAGTGGAGATGTTCAAGTGCCTGTGCAGTAGGCAAGGCAGGAGGAAAAGTGCACAGAGCCAAAAGCAAAACACTCCCAGTTTATCAGGGATTATCACATTTTGCTAATCTTTTGGCAATCTACAAGCAGTGACTTTCACAGAGAACCATCTGCTGAGGAAGAGCAAGCTGCAGAGCAGCTGTACAGCATCGCTGCATTTCTGGAATGTCTCCAGACCTGTACATCTGCCTCGTGTGTGTGTGTGTATCAGCCTTCACGTGTCTGTAAACTGATGGTGACTACAAATGGAAGCAGTGCTTGTGCCATGGATGTGTTACCTCCCGGGAAACTACTGAAAGAGCTGGTCAAATGTGCCCTTATTAACAGTGTTAGGCACCTAAACAGAAAATCTGACCAGGCAACTGCGTTTCTGAGTCACCATTATAAAAACTAACATTGAAAAGACCTTCCTCCTGAAAGGAGATAACAGCTCCTTTGCTCTTTTTTGTCCCCTCACAGACCTGGACTCCTGCAGGAAAACCTTCTGAAAGCATCAAATCACAGTGTACGCTAGTTTTGACCAGCCGCTAAGAGGTGAATCCTTTCTGCTTCACAGACACAGTCACCAGGTGGGTGACATACAGTGAAACTGCTCCTGCAGCCACACCACGGAGAGGCTGCCATGGATCACGGTAGTTGGCTTATACAAAGTTGAAGCCCACCTACCCAAAAGTGAGAGTTTTGAGATTTAGGCTGCTCTCTGAAACGGACTTTTCTGTTGAACAAAGGTGTTTGCTGGGTTTAAGAATTTAGCTTGTTGCTGTGAGTTGTGTGTCTCCCGAAGTGACAGCATTTTTAGCCTGTCTTGTAATTATGTTTACAACTTGTCACGAGCTGTAATTACTGTCAAGCTGTCAGCATTATTAAAAAAAAATAAAAATAAAAATAAAAGATTTGGAAGAACTCTCATTTTTATACTGATGCATGCAGTTTTGAACCTTTTCAAAGGGCATTTTGGGCTATGGCTGTATCAGTAAATAGAAGGAGCCAGGACACATTTTCTGCCCCTGAGAGCAGCTACCGTGACAGCTTCTATTCACACACTGAAATTCTCCCAGCCCCCTCCAGACATAATACCACGAACAACTCCCAGCTTTGCTGTACCCCCAGCTGTGCCCAGATACTGCTTGAGGGAGTGCTAGCTGGAATAGATCAAATTGCATTAAGGGCTGTTCCAGCAATTTAATGGTACGGATCAGTGTGTGTCACTGTTAGGCCTATACCATGACCTTGTGTAGTTTAAAACAGATGCTGCCTTTAAGGCTAGAATCAGCATCAGTTAGGCACGCTCAGTTGTGGGATCTCAGCCTGTATGGACTACAGAAACGGGGAGAAGAAGCTGAAGAGAAACACTTCATTAAATAAATGGCAGGATCCTCACACATCCTTTAGCATCACACTTCCTTCAGGACTGCAGCAGAGCTGCCTGGGCTAATCCCACACCGTCACCACCTTGCAGGATTAGCCATATCCTACACAGCCAGGACCTCTCAGAGCCTAGAGCTGCCAGCTGAGCAGTGCTACCGTTGTCTAGCAGAGGGCTGCAGACTGGAGCCTGAGGAAGGTGCCAGGTCTTGCACTTTAACTCTGTAGTCACTTCTGAGCGGGCTGCTGTACAGCGTGGCTAAGAAATCAGCACTTGTGGGATGCAGCTGGCTTCTTGCTCAATCATATGCATGAACAATATATCATGCACGGAGTGGTAGCAGCATTAGAAGTGCTTTATTCTTCCCTTCACCACACAGCCTGTTGGCGTAGCTTTGGAGAACACTACTCAGGCAGCATTTGGCATGCTTGCTAAGCACTGATAGGACTGAATTTGGAGACAAGTGAAATTCAGATGTTGGTAAATTCAGCCTTAAAACAAACCACGACACTTCATTTCCCTAAAGCCTCCATTGCTGGACTCTGCATATGGGCTATTACAGTGGTCCGATCTCAGAAGGGAATTTGTTTCTAGCTTTTACATCCACATTTCTTCTGAAAACACTGTAAAACCACAGAAGGACTCACCTGTCCTGAATCTAACAAACATGTCAAATACATAGATTACATCAGAGCAGTAGTCCAAGAACAGCCATACTTTTATATGGTCAATTTGTAGCTCGTCAAAGCAGGCCCTAAAGAAAAGAAAACGCAAAAAAAAAAAAAACAACAAAACACATTACAACTGTAAGCAGAGCGTATGCAACATGTGTTCTAACAGCATGTTGTTTTTTCACATTTTGAAAGGGAAAAAACTCGAATAAAATCCTCCTGCCCTTCAAGCATTTGTAGACACCTCGTATTAATTTAAGATGACCCTCCACTGCCCACACCTTTGCTGCTGTTCCTTCCTGGAGGATCAGCACGGGTTACTGTGCCAATGGCCAAGGCACATCACCGCAGCTAGCCAGTAGGTGGCACGCAAAGGCCACAGCCAGCGCTCATGGGGGATGCTCAGTGCAAATTAAAAGTTTTATTTTTAGGCAGATAAAAAAAAAAAAAAAAAAAAAAAAAAAAAAAAAAAAAAGCCATCTACTTCCAGTGACCTGCACGTGAACTGTAAATCTCCTAGGCAAGCCACCCCAAAAACCTGCAGGGAGAGAGGAAGAGGATGTATGCAGGAAACGTAATGAGACTTTAAATTTGAAACCTAAAATTGTTATTGACTTCAACCCGTACCTGCACACTAGCATACACCAGTTGTAGAACACGGGTGCTGCAATTATGGTCAGCCAGTTGTAGTACATATTGCTTGAAGGATCTATCACAAAGATCTCTTTTTTCTTCCTGGAAAGTAAAACACGTAGGCTTTATAGTGGCAATGTACTGAAGCAGCCTTCTGGAACTCCCTCTTCTGGAGGCTGCTCATCTCATGATTAACTCACAGCTGCCTAAGATGAGAAAGGATCCACACCAGCATCCCAGATGAGATACCAAGTACTAGCTTCATCCTGTCTGGCACACTCTATTTCTGCTTGACCCAGCTTTGGAAAAAGTAAGTGAGAGTGGAAAGAAAAACAGAGCTATTCAAATTGCTGAAAATAACATCCTTTCGGCATATGACCCCCAGTAAAGACAAAATAAAGCAGTAAATCTTTCATATCATCATTCCAGCTAGAAGAATATGGCCCACTGCTACAGGAAGAGCCTTTCTTTGAAGATTAATTTTGAAGGTTTTGGCAAACCCTTCTATTACAGAAATGACCGCATGAACACACATTTCAACAAGTAAAACACAAACATACTCAGATACATGTTTACGTGTGTAAGGCTCTTTACATGTGTGTCTGCATGAACATACACAACATGCACCCACACACACAATCTGTGGTAAAAGCAAATTTCACACATTTGTATTCAAGGCTCCCTTGGCCTCACAAAGTGATGCTAAATGAAGAACACAGGCCTAGAACTTAAAGAAGACTTAAAGAACAGCACGGTGAAGTGGCACATGCAGTATGCTCCAAAGTGTCTTTCCCCAGCAAGAAAAAGCTTGATATTCAATAGATGGCAAATAGATGTATTGTAGATAATAAGAGGAAAAACATATTAGTGAATTGTGAGGTCCACAGCTGCAGAAGTTATTCCAATAGTGACACGTGGCAGTATGATCAGTGAAATGTATAATAATGCAGGGAATCCTTGGATATGTATTAGTGTGACTTTCCCAAATCTCCAAGAATGAAAAAAATATAAATGTAAGGAGAATTTATTTCATATTTGTATGTATGTCTGGCATTATACATGCTATCAGCTAAATGTACAGATTATAATGTTAGTAAAAGAAGCAGCTTTAATCTAAAAAGTATTTTCTTTGCCATCTTCTGGCACATTTGACCCATTTCTTCAACAACACTGGTCATCACCTCAAAACTGGTGACCACAAAATCGGGTCTTCACATGATAGAGTGTACTACCTTTTAGACACTGAAACATTTATTACCTTTGCTGAAATGTTTTTAAATGCTTTAGGGTACTGTGAAGCTAAGGCTATACAGTAACAGAAGCTGAGGAGAATTGAAGAGAATCCTTAGACGAAAGGCTTTCAAATCAAGCAAAGCTTTGATTAAGAAAGTCAAGACCTTGAGATTAATTAAATTCCATTTGGAAGCTATTCCTAACTACATGTCCTGATGCCTACATAGCACATGCCACCATATATATATGTTAGATTCATATATATCAAGTTTATATATATATAGATTCATACATATCAAGCTTATATATTATATATATGTATATATATATAAACTTGAAATATATGAATCTAACATACTACTTAACTGTAAAGTCTACCAAAATGCATTTTATTTTTATCCACTACCATTTTTATTCTGTATGACTAGTAATACTAAACAGTGTTGTGTTTGGATATGTTTTGGGGGAACAAAACAAGACCAGCATCCATTTCCATCAAAAACATTCAAATGACCTCATTTTGTTGCAGAAATACAGTGGTACCTCCTAATCAGCAGGAGCAAACTTTAGTAATTCTACTAAAGAACTGTGCCATATTTTTAGTAATCAAATATTCTAGTCAGTGAAATAACTAAACTAGGTAAATCTGTAATATTCTACATGTAAAATTTTTGCTTCTCATGCAAATTAGACTTCTGGTGTGTCAGCTCTGAATCATTGCAGTTATTCTGGAATCATGAAAAGCAGTTTTGCAAAGAAGGCTGCTATCTTAAAATGACCCAATTGGAGTAAAGTGATCTTGCAAAGCAAACCAAACTGACCAGAGGCAGTCAAACTTTCTTTTACTGCTTATGACAGGTCTAAAGGCAGGCACAAAAGACAAAAGTTTGTTGAGCACTTGCACCTTTTCAAAGGGGAAAATACATTTAAGATTTGACAGGATAACATTCTGCAGCCTACAGAACAATAATCGTAGTGCTAGTGACACAATGAAATGCCACACTATGCTCTGGAGTGCGAGAGGTACGTTACAAGCACATTCATTATACTTACTCTTCTTTTTTTTTGTCATCTTTTTTGTCATCTTTTTTGTCATCTTTCTTTTCCTCCTTCTTTTCCTCCTTCTTTTCCTCCTTCTTTTCCTCTTTAACCTCTTTCTTTTCTTCCTTTTTGCTGTACAACATATTGTAAGTCTTATCAATATTACCAGTTTTCTAGCAGGTAGGGGAGAGGATGGATGTTGAGGTACAGGAGATTATTGATCTGGATTCTGGACAGAGTAGGACAGGATTTCTCAAAGGAACCATTCATCCAAATGGTATAAATGGTTTACAGGTTGAGGCCGTTCAAACCAACATAACCACATTACACAGTCAGGTAACCAGCTGGCTGATTCTGTGCATTAGTCACCCATGCCTTCTTGACCTTTTCACACATTAATGTACCAGGTTGGTTTTAATTAAATGCTTCCAGTTCATTTCTTCCTTTAGAATTCAGGTATTTAGAAAGAAATCTGTTTAATGATAATAGACCTTGAAATGGCTTAACAAACTGCCAATTTTCTCAGCATATCCAAAACCTCACAGTGACTTGTCCGAATCGTTAATGATGATTAAATGAACTGAGGCTGAATCTCCACTCTCAGTTCTTTAAAACCAACATAGCTACAATTAATTGATTACCTCTGGCTTCAGAAATTGCCTTGCAGAAGAATCCCAATCAATGTTTGAACAAAAGCAGCAAATGTAGAGAAAAGAGATACATCACATTTCACTTAACCTCAGACATCTACAGATGAGGCAGTCATCTAATAAATGCTTTATAGTCAATGCAATTAATTTGATCTATTTTAGCAGTAGGATGAGATGACCTGTGCCTGGAAGAAGATAGCAGTCACCAATTCTAAGGTAAATATGATAGGTCTAAGAACAGCTTTCACCATCAGCAACGAGGTGAAATTCTCATTCAATTCCCCTGTTCCTATTTTTACCCCTAGATATTTCCATAGTGATGCAGTATCACAATGTAATTTGGAAAATCTCAGGCTCGTTTGCTAGAAGAAACCTGAAATCTTACACTTCTTTATGTTCAGGAAAGTATCAAATTAATCAACACCACTTAAACCTTTAAAATTACACACCTCAATGTGTGTTGACTGACTTATTTATACATGTATCTCAAATTAAAGAAACAGTTTTTCATTTACCAAGGCTGACTTCTACACTGCATCAGGAACCACTACTCAAATATTTATTTCTCTGCCATTGGCCCCTTGGACTTGTATTGCTTCTCCTTCAAATCTGCCCCCAAAACTCTTTCCAATTTAGGAAACATGTCAGGATTTCAGTGTGCATCACTATGCACGGTGCCTGACCTAAAGGCCAATGCACAGTTGCTGTTGTTAGCATTACCATGCAGCTCCTCAGTGCTTCAAATGATACTGAAAAGAAAGAACTTTCTTATTGAAAAGAAAGAACTACAAGTAAACAATTTACAAAGTTTTTACAAATTTACAAAGGAAGTGCTACTGCACATTTGTGACTGTTGTTATGCAAGGAAAAGTAAACTGAGATAAAGAATCAATCAAAAGTTTCAGTGGTGGTGAAATTCAGAGGGAATGTTTTGACAATTCCATCTTTCTCCTACATGTTGTTTTAAAAGAGAGAAAAAAAAAATATTTCACAAAGCAGCTGAGGCTGACACTTTTTCTCTAGCCAGAGAAAGAATACCTGTTGACAACAGTTATCTTTCATAAGTGAGACTCTTTCATTTCTGTGGCCCCTGTGCATCTCTCTCTTGAGGTACCTTCTAATTTATCATAATCCCAACAGTCTGTAGTCTGGCAGTCAAAGTTGCTCAGAGGAAAAAGCTGGCCATTATCAAAGTGTTGAAAATATCAGCTACGGTTCCCAAAGGGCAGGAACTCTTAGGTCTTCTACACAATGAAAAGCACAAAGCTTCAAAAAGACCTGCATCTTTTTTCTCCATTGGTGCTACTAAGTAACATGGAATCCAGTAACTAATAAAACCGCTGTTTGTGCTGCCCTCCTTGCCAGCAATACAGTGGCATCTATTCTGTCTCCAGCATGTTAAAAGGAAGACATATCTTCAGACTTAGAAAGCATCTTCATCAGCCCCTGTAAAAACACTGTCACAGTCTTTGAATGAGTTGAATATTTGCATTTCTCTCCTGTCAAATACTTTGCAAATCAAGTAATTTTCAGACTGTCACACAGGTAGACAGACAGGTGTTGGCTTCATTTAGAAATAAGGAAACTGAAAGGATGAAAGTTTTGCTCAAAGTACATGAGTCATTGTCAGAAACGGGCTAAGAAATCAGTATTTCAATTCTAATTGGTCCTTTGGGACATCACTTGTAGGTCAGGCTTCAGGTTTCTAGTGTGTGTTTTTTTTGTTGTTGTTTCTTTCTTTCTTTTATTTTTGCTTTTTTTTTTTTTTTATTTTATCCCAGTCTAAATAAAATGCTATACATTTCTAACACTCTTCTCTGTATTCCCATTTCAATTTTAATAAAAGCTATGCAAACAAAACAAAACGCTTCAGGAGAAGGAAAATATGTTCAGATATGTGCACTGAGTTCAGATATGAAAAAAAAAAATCCTGAAAGTGTGTCTGACATAATCAGAAACCATCTTGGTGATTTTTTTGTTGTTGTTGTTTCTTTTCATATGGAAAGCAACAAAAGAAATTAACTATTGGCATGTACAAGAGCAGAATTGCTGCTGAATGCTGCAGAGCAGATAAGTCCTCAAATAGGTGTGGTTTAAGACATGCAACAAACATTGGTGTTGGTTGATTTTACATTACAGAATTTCTTCTACTTTTCAAGAGATTTCTCTTTGGACCAACATAAAAAATGTTTTGTCAAATACATAAAATAGAATGGCTTTTGTCAAAACTTGTTGTAATGCAAGCCTTATTATGTTCCCTGTCACCCTCTCTACATTTACACCAACCATACCCGGCAGAACTAAAACACACATTTTAGAAAGAAGGTTAGTTTCATTTAGACTGCCCACATAAAGGTTTTCTTGGTACCCTGCTCCATATCTACTTCTCATGTGACAGCAAGAAATTTCTGGGGCGCTTGGATTTCCAAAAGGGCACAGGTATGTTAAAAGAGACAAAGTACTGTTAGAAAATGAATACATGAATCTCATTTACAAACTGAAGCATTAATATAGCCATTGACAATGCAGTAAAATCAGCCAGTTGAACTATAGGAGGTAGGGACTAAACGTCTAATTAATCCAATTCACTCCTTGGAAGGCAAGGGTAACTTCAGACAAAAAGAAGCTGACAGGAGTCATGGAGGATGCTTCTAGTACTAAGAAAACTAGATCTTTCTTATAATTAAACTATATTCTTAGAAAGGGCTTAAGGTGACATAAGGAGTTTATACTACAAATGTTACTAGGCTGGAAAAGGGGAAGAAAGGAGCTAGTAGTAGGAAGGTGTACGGAGGTTATCAGTACTTACTCTTCATTGGTGTTGTTGCTATAGTTGACATTAAACCTGGCCAAGGGCCATTGACTGCAGTAAGTTAAATAAAACACATTTAAGAGCGTAAAGACTCTTGGCATTTCATACACGTGTTTACCAACATGACAGACTGACTTACTAGCCTCTCACATATACACTGATAAGATTAGGAAGGTCAACTTTGACTGCAGCGATAAGCCCCTTTGCATAACTATTTCAAGACACCAGTTTCTCTTTGTCATGTGCTAGACATACACGTTTGTGACCACATCTGATGTCTGAAGCTTGTTCTCAGGCGTATTAGTGCACGATAACATGTAACTCACTATTTTTAGCCCTGTATGCATTTGGCTGCTATTTTAAACGTTCTTCAATCCTTTCAAGTCTTCTTCAGAGACGCACTTGCCAAGGCTTCTGTAACAAGCATACCTACCTTTGCTGCAGAATTAAGCTTTCACAATAGAACTGAGGGTTATTGTAATGCAGCAACAACATCAAACTGAGAAAACAAGAATGAATACTTCCAAGTTCATTTCTTCTAATACACTTTCGCAGAGGCTTGTTGGACCAGGATCAAAGTTCTCTCTAACAACTCGGAAACTTCAGTTGCTACTGATCAAGATGCCCAAAAAACCTCTTGCCTGCTGACTCAAGTGATTAGAGGATATCAGTCTGGCTAATTCAATAAAAGGCACTTTTGAGTTGAATTTCTAGGAAGCAGATCAAGTGAAGATGATATGGCTGGGCTGACCCACAACAAGTCAAGGTCACCTGTACTACCATGCAGGACCCTTCAACAGTTCTTGCTTTACTATGAATTATTAGATAAGAACTTGAAACAAATCAATGGATTACTTGGTTGTCCACCAATTTTTAACTAAGTGAAAAACCATGGCAGTCTGTGCTTCAAAATATAATGCAAAACAGAAGGCGAACTTTTGCCTTTGAACTTCATTTTCCCATCTCAGCTGGAGTTAAATTTAAAACACCAAGTCACATATTTATAAAGGAATAACAATTAATCAAGTCAAAAGACTGTAAACACATAAAGGTTTTTCTTGCAGGCCACTGTTGTTTCCCTGGAAAAAAAATCAAGATAAAACTGAACCAGCCTCCCATACCAAAGATGGAGTATATGCTAATCGATTAAGACATCAGCGAAAAGATTTTCTCATTTCTGCATCAGAAGCCTTCTGCAATGTTAGCAGCTGACCTTCTGAGCAGGTGTAACTAAGCAATGATACACTCACACAGCTGTTGTTTGGAGTTTCCTAACACTTGCAGCTAATTTGCATAACATGATTGTCCTGAAAAGCCATAACTAACAACATCCCAGATCTTTGAAATAGGAAATGCATTCATCCTCTGTGGAGAAGAGTTCAGCAACAGCAACTTACACAGGTAGTGTAAGAGAAAATTTCAGTGCCGAGAATCCATTCTGCCTGAAGCAGCATGATCAGAATACTTTATTTCAAGATATTTGCCAAGATGTGTTTTGGGGAGAAAGAGAAAATCTGCTGAAAGCCATAACACTTCAGTTACGTGAAGATTCCTGAACAGCATTAGATACTCTGTTCATCTCCAATACTAACCTCCTTATCCTGTTCTTAAAAGAAAGCCAATGTCCTAATCACCAAGAAAATACCGTACCCTCAGTCTTTTTCCTTTAAAACATAAATACTCTTCCTTACCTGTTTACTCCCCCAGGACGTTCACGGATGCCCAGAAAGGAGCGGATGTTACTTTGCCTACTGGACACCTCTATGAGCTCTGGCCCTCGGATTCGCTCCAGGAAAGAATCAGGTCTTTGGTCTTCATGGTGCAAATGTCTTGTGGCCCATGACCTCAGAGATACGACAAATCGTGACAGCCTGCACAGGACAGACATACAACATTGACTGAAACAGACAAAAACGTCAGATGGCTTAAATCATTCCCACAAAGAGCAGCTCAGGAGGACTTCTGTCCGCTTTGCCACCTGCCACAGAAATTAGACTTGATGGACTGTGTGAACCTAGACACTTTCCACAGTTTCATACATCACCTTCTGCAGTGGATTGGGAAAGTATCCCACACATCAATCTCCAGTCCACTGTACCAGCATTGCAGTAGCAACAGAATATTGATTCAGGGTAAGTTTGCCAAGTGGTTGTGGTGCAGACAAGACCTTCTGATTTATGTGATAATGAGGGAATCCTGGCCTGACAGAATCAGAGACATATGTGTAAAATACTCATGATATCACACGCTCAAGGCACAAGCAGTAGAAACAAAAGCTGAATAGTCGGTGAGGGAGGATGAACTTTGAAATAAGGAACGGTAAGAATTCAGTCACTTTCCTTTTTATTTTAAAGGGTCTGTCTGCAGATATATTAATTGCATGTAAACCTGCCTGCAGCATGGAAATCACTGTTTGTTCATCCTAAATTTCTAGGAGAGCACTGAAATGAGATAATCAAAACATCATGGCAACATAATTAATGTAACATTTCATCACCATTTTCTTTTTATGTACACACTAATTCACTAATTCACATTACAAATCTTTATAATGCCTTCTGTCAAAGTTCAGATGGAAACATGTTTCTGAAAAATTGGAAAAAATGGAGACTGGAATCTACAAAGGCAATTTTATTTCTTATTCACACAATATTCTGTATTATTTCCTACAAGCAGTCCAGTTTGGACATAAGTGGTGTTAATTCAGATTTCCCAAACTTGTCCCTGAAAACACCATAATGAAATCCTGAACAATCCATAACTTCTTACAGAGGCCTTGGGCTACTCACTGAAAGCTCTTTATGTTCCCTCTGCATCACCTAGAATTATATATGCTCAGAATTTACAAAGACTCTGATGTGAACAAGTTAAATCTTATGGTAAAATACACCTGCCTTGAACTTTATTGCATTTATCAAAGGCCTAACTCATAGATCTTGCCCAGGAACTCTTACATGGAAAGAAAAAGGACAAAAAAGGCAGGAATAATATTATGTATCAGAAATTAAAAAAAGTTATTTTTAGCTCTTTATCCCTATACCAACATAGCAGCATATAAATGACCAACAATTTCCAACAAGTGAGAGAATTCAAAATCTACCGAAGGCAAAAGAAAAACAAAGATGCACATAAAAGACTGAGATTAATAGATTCATCACTCTATGGAAAAAAACACCATGTAAAATTAAACAATAAAAATAAACATTAAAAAGGGAAGCTTTCAATATTAATTTATTTATTTAGATGTTTCTTGTTTAATAAAACATATACCTACAAGCATGTCTTCCACCTAAAATCAACTTCTTGCAGACTTTGCAATCTCCACATAGCAGTGTCACTATCTGACAACCAAATGGGGAAACACAAGTTTGTTCTCTACCACCCAAAAGGCTGAAATGTAAACGCTACTCTAATTGAAGCTAGTTTTATAGCATTTTTTAATTTGCTCTTTGAAATACACTATGCTTAAACTGAGGGTGTTCTGTAGCATGCATAACAGTGGTATCAGAAGACAGAGTTCTGTTGTCTCAGCTGGAAATCTTTAAAGCAGACATAAGGTTTTTTTAAGTTCTATTTCAGGCTTATGTTCTCAGATCAAGTAAAGTAAATGACTTAAGCAAATGGTTGACTTGAACTTTGCTGACTCAGGCTCCCAATCCGGTATAAACATAACTGGATTCTAAAATCTGAAACCCTATTTCTTCCTTTGGCATAGCTACCTACCACCAAGGGAAACATCATTATGTCTTACCTAATACAACATTACACTTGTATCAGTTATCAAGCAGAACCAAACACTCATTCATTTACTTTACAGTCTGGCGTTACTTCATGCATTTCCTTAATATTTGATATATTTTCAGTTCTGTTCATGTAAAAACAAATTATTATTTTTTTTTTAATCAGACTAATTTGTGTGAGCTCATTTAGCATCTCTATTATTCCAAGTTTTTTATTAGAAATGAGTAAATGAGAATAATGCGAATCAAGGTCAAAAGCACCTTCTGTTATTTTTATAGACTTTCTTCAGCTGCACTCCATCCATTTTCTTTGGGAAGTGACAGTTCTTCTTACTTTACCTTGAAATAGTGATCATCCTCTTTCCAACATGTTAACATTGGAAATGGTATTAATTAGCATGTTACCTTGCCATTGCTCCCCTGCCTGTGAATGAGCTCGTCTGGGATCCAGATAAATGTCCTCCCTCCACAGAAATGACTCTCTGCAGTTCTGAAGACGTATCCTCACACAGTGAATGGGTTCTGCAAAAGCAAAATTTTTTTTTTTAATTATATATAGCCTACAGCAAATCTTCCCCCAACCAGTTCTTAACACTACTGCATCAGAAAACTGTGGGCCAAATTGTTCTCTTTCTAGTAATATGGCATGTGTTTGATAAATATAAAGCTAAGCCTATATTCCCACTTTTCTGGAGCCATCCAATACTGAATGAAGTCAGTGGAGGTTCTGCCATCTGTCCCAGCAAGCTCAGAAGCAGATTACTGACTGATCAATACAACTCTGGAGTACAGATACACAACCTGGGGAAGCACATTTGCTACTCTATCACCTCCTGTAACACCTCAGTATCTTTCCTTTAACACAAAGAGCATCTTCAGGGGGCTTTGAAATAATTGTCCACTGCTTTTTTCAGTCTTGTTCTCCCAGACATTGTTTGTTTAACTGTCTGAAATTTCTATCACTGTTGTTCCTTCACATGGCTCAAAGGATATAGGCACCCCTTTTCCTTTCACTGTTGCTTGGATCGAGTGGGAAAAACTGTGATTTTACAGTAGTTAATCCTGAGCAGCATCACTGCTGTTCTTACCAGCCTGCTGCCACCAGCTGCACTAACTGGCAGCCATAATGCTGTCCCGCTTCATCAGTGAAACTCCACCTATTTTATAGGAAAAGAAGCTACAGATGTTCAAAGCTACTCTGGTAGTGATGAGCTGAGGCACCTCAGGACATTGGCAGATGCAAAAAAAAATAATACAGCATCGCAGTTGTGTGCAACAGCAGATAGTGATTATACTGTTATGTGCAGTGTCTGCCAAATTGCATGAGTTCCTGTAATTGTAAGACTGCTTATTAGCAATGAAATAATTAGCATTAAAAAAAAAAAAAAAAAGACAGAGAGAAAGGATGAAATTTTAGCCTTATCTTTCAGTAATAGAATTTTGGCAACTGACTTCACTGGAACCAGGACGTTATCAAAACTCACTCTGGATCTTTTTATGACTCCTGAGGTTTTCTCTGTGTTTTTCATTCCTTAGGATCCATTTTAGAAGACTTTATCACATCAAGGATCATATTTTTCCCCTTCATAATGCAAACAAGAACTCTCACTGCTAATATGCATTGCCAGGAAAACACTGAATAATATGATACTTGCAATAACTTCATAAGAATAACTTAATAAGAACCTGGTAAATCCATTTTGTATGCACTCACAGCAGAGAAGCTAACAAACAAAGACTTACAACTTTATTATTTCTACACAAACAACAAAGCTACCAAAGACAGTAACTCATAGTATCATAGAATCACAGAATCATTAAGGTTGGAAAAGACCTCCAAGATCATCTGGTCCAAACACCCATCCCCCTACTGCCAACATCACCTACCAAACCCTGTCCCCAAGCACCACGTTCAACCTTTCCTTGAACACCCCCAGGGATGGTGACTCCACCACCTCCCTGGGCAACCCGTCCCAGTGCCTGACTGCTCCTTCTGAGCAGAAATGTCTCCTCATTGCCAACTTGAGGCCATTCCCTCTGATCCTATCACTAAGTTACCTGTGAGAAGAGGCCGACCCCCAGCTCCCCACCACTTCCTTTCAGGTAGCTGCAGAGAGCAATGAGGTCTCCCCTGAGACTCCTCTTCTCCAGCCCAAACACCCCCATTCCCTCAGCCGCTCCTCACAGGCCTTGTGCTCCAGGCCCTTCCCCAGCTTTGTAGCCCTGCTCTGGACACACTCCAGGGTCTCGATGTCCTTGTAGTGAGGGGCCCAAAGCTGAGCACAGCACTCAAGGTGCGGCCTCACCAGAGCAGAGCACAGGGGGACGATCACCTCCCTGCTCCTGCTGGCTGCACTGTTCCTGATACCAGCCAGGATGCTGTTGGCCTTCTTGGCCACCTGGGCACACTGCTGGCTCATGTTCAGGTGAGCATCAATCAGCACCCCCAGATCCTTTTCCTCTGCACAGCTTTCCAGCCACCCTGCCCCAAGCCTGTAGCGTTGCATGGGGTTGTTGTGGCCAAAGTGCAGGACCTGGCACTTAGCCATGTGGATCCTCATCCCATTGGCCTCTGCCCATCAACCCAACCTGTCCAGGTCCCTCTGCAGGGCCTTCCTACCCTCCAGCAAATCAACACTTCCCCCCAGCTTGGTGTCATCTGCAAACTTTCTGAGGGTGCACTCAATTCCTTCATCCAAATCATCAGTAAAGATGTTAAAGAGGATGGGCCCCAGCACTGACCCCTGGGAAACACCGCTGGTGACCTGTTGCCAGCTGAATTTCACTCCGGTCACCACCACTCTCTGGGCCCAGCCATCCAGCCATCTTTTAACCCAGCAAGAAGTGTACCTGCCCAAGACACAGGCTACCACCTTCTTCACCAGAATACTGTTGCCTTTCATGAACCCATGCTGACTGGGCCTGATCCCCCGGTTGTCCCACACATGCTGTGTGATTGCATTCAAGATGACCTGTTCCATCACCTTTCCTGGCATAGGCTGACAGGCCTGTAGTTCCCTGGATCCTCCTTACAACCCTTCTTACAGATGGGTCTCACATTAGCAAGTCTCCTGTCATCTGGGACTTCCCCCGATGACCATGACCACTGACACACACACAAAGCTTTTTTTTTTTCTTCTTTTTTTTTTTCTTTTTCCCCTGGAGCATCTGCCTACATTCCTTCCAGGGAAATGATACTACACAAGACAGTCTTTTAGACTGCACTGGTCTGTTTTAAAGACTTTATATTCCTCTTTATAGGAAAATGTACATCTCGTGCATCTTGTGGGATCTTAGACAGCAATGGTTTCTAACATTGCTACTGTTCTTATTTATTTGAGTCCTGAAAATACATTTTTAAAGTAGACAGAATGAGTTCTTAAAAAATAACTCTTTTTGTCAGCCAGTCGAAGAAAACCTGACACAGGCCCAGGAAATCAGGCCAAACAGATTTTTGCTGCAGTTTCAGAGGAAGATCTATTTCGATTTTATTAGCCTCCATGAGCACAGAGAAACAAATTTAACACCATGCAATGTTCTATTTTGATGTAACTGTGCTGGTTTAATAGTGGGAATGAGAGCCAAGAGCCAAGCAGGAGGTGAGAATTGCCACCCAAAAGGCACTGTTAGCTAGCTTTATTTTTTTTTTGTACACATTTTTAGTTGCAGTCTCCTTTATTCATGATATTATTCTGCTTTGGCATCTGTTTGGGCATCTGCTGACAATATTCAAGAGGCTAAGAATGCAGATACTAAAAACAATACTTTCCCTCTAGCTCCATTCATCAGCACAGAGTCATGCTTGCTAGTTACATCATCTGTTAAGTGCTTCATGTGCAGGATCATCACCTCCACACTTAGCAGTGTGGAAAGGTGTGCTCCACTGTCCCTACACAGGCTCATCTTACTTTGTATTTCTGTAACATGAAGTTTTACCAACTTTCTGTCCTCCTGTAAGCAGTATCTACAGAGGACTTACTGGCATCCTCCAAAAACACAAAGTTTTTGCTTTGATTCTGGGAACAATTCAGGGTATGGCTTTTGGTGTCTAGAGCCAGAAGTATGTTGAAGAAATAATGTTTTAATCCAGGTGAAAAAAATCAATATGCTTAACAGACCTTCAAATCTGATTCAGAGTCTCATAAAATTAATTAAAATTTTCCAATGGTTTAATTACTCTTAGGTCAGATTCTTACCAAGACGTGATCAGACATACTCTGTGAAAAATTTGTATCTTATGCTCCAAAAAAGCCTGCTAAACTGTAGGGGAAAAAAGGCAAAACTCTCAGACACAGCTACTGGAATCACATTTGATTATGGACTCAGCTTAACCAGTGAAAATTTGAATTCCTTATTTTAGTTTGATTGCTTGACTGTATTATTCTATATGTGCATCAAGATTTTCTATAACTAGGTTTATGTTATAATTAAATACAACAATTATTATGTAAATTCTGGCTTACCTAGCAAAAAATATATATATATAACAAAAAGACAACTCATGAAAATCCAAATAATTTTGTGGACAGTACAATTAATACACAAAAGGCTCTGCCAGGCAAATCTTAAAAATGTACCTGTCCAACATTATACAGCAATCATAAACAGATTCCATTTTCATTCACTAGAAATGCAAATTGAGAAGTAAACCTAAAAAAATCTCTTTCTTCTATTACTATAACTCCCTCTTATACAACTCATGTGCATTTCTGATTTTCTTTAACCATGTGCAGATAACACAAGAGGCCTCATTTGTCATCTGGCTTTATATTGATGCAAAGATACAGTTACAGGTTGGGCTTTTGATGTACCATATTCAACACACATGGCCTAGTCTTTACTTTATATTTACAAACACAAACTCATTCCTGCCTGGACTCCATGAGCTTTTCTGGTATCTGCAGCTAAACAGTAACCACTGCCATTACTGCCCAAGGCTGTTACACAGCCAGAAATCAACATGAGAAGAGAATACACAGTGTGCCAAGAAACAGAGAGCAGGCCACAAGGTAGAAACACTAGCAGATGACAGTGCCCCTCAGCTTATGCTGAAAAATATTTTTTTTGCTCCATGTGTCAAGGAGGGAAACATACACTCTTCTCTTCATCTTTCTAAAGAGCCCATGCTTGCCCATGCTTTCGAGCTATCAGAGTAAACTCTAGGAAGGATATTTACATCAGCACTTGTTTTGTACCTTTCTCTTGCCTTAATTTGGCTCTAAATTTGCACGAAGTTCATCAAGTAAATTCTAGAAGACCGTTTTCACCTAAAATGCATGGAAATAATCCAGAACTTTTGTTTAGTGGAAACTGTTCTGATCAGTTCAAGGGGAATGAACAAAGCCCTTTTGAGTAATAACTGGGAGCCAGACTTAAAGAGCAAGATTTGGAGCCAGATGGCAGTCACCTAAATTGAGGTGTCTAATAAAAGCTACCTACATTCCCATTATAGTCAACTGAGGTCTTATGATATGATTCACTTGCCTCAGACGAGGAGTCTAGCACCATTTGGAGTGTCTCAAAATACATGTACTTTCTCTTTTGGATCTCTTCTGGGCACAGAGGTCTCACTTTATATCCATTAGCACCAGCTAGATGCTTCAAATACTCTTATGATATCTCAAATAGTCTTAGATGCCTGTGTTTATGCAACCAAATACCTCTCATAATAAACACAGTCATAGTAGCCTGAAAAGCCACTCAAATTCAGGGTAAGCTGAACAGCTCCCTAGGCTCCACTGACTATATTATTGACTATGTCTCCTCTGATGATAGTAGGAACTTAGACACCTACTCAAATAAAGACACAGAAATCCAGATGTCTACAAGGCACAGCTGAATCCCACTTCCAAAATTTAGATAGCAAAACCATGTCTGTAAAATATTGGCTCTCTCTCCTATGTGAGCCATTTCTACTCAGAGGCTGGATTTTAAAAATCAAGACCCATTTATTATTTTTTGCTTTGCTGATTTTTGTTTTACTAAATGGACTGGGTTTACAGCACTACACTATAAGAATATGGGCATATGTATCCCTATCTCTGGTATAATAGAGAACGACAGTTTAAAGACCACCAGCAGCTTCCTGTTAATTGTTTCAGTAAGTGCTTTTCCTTGATAATACCACATTCCACAACAGAAAAGCACTTAAGCACATCCTTAGCGTTAAGCATAAATTTAACACTCACTGACTTTAATGAGAACTAAGTAATGTGCTTAATTGCTTTGTTGAACTACAGCCAACAGGAGTTAGAGGAAGATAAGAAGTTTCACTAGTCTAGAAAACTCATGTTTGCTTTTCTGTTTGTTTGTTTTGTTTTGTTTTTCCTATTGTCTATAGTTTTAGAACATGCTAACCTGAATTTGAAAAATGCATACCAGAATTCTTCCTTGGATGAGGTTAAAGACTAATGTCCCACAACCATCTCCAACATGAAGGTCTGAAAGTGGAAACGTTTGTGACAATGACTGAAGCTTTAAGTAAAGAACTGGAAACAGAAACCATCTTTGATGTTTGTGACAGATAATAAATGAAACACTTTTTATTATCTTCAAGCTCCCAGCCTTCCAGATGCATTTACAATCTCTCCCTTGGCTTTAATTCACATTTTCTTTTAATGGAAAAAAGGATTAACTTTTGCCAAATTAAACAGGATGAAAGACTTCTATCTTATAAAAAGCTAATTTGTCTTCTGGTAAATAATAATCATATTCTTATAGACTGAACAGTCTAAAATACATTTGTGTTCTAATGAACACAATCATATGTACTTTTACATACAATTATTTTTTTTTTCTGCGGTATTACAAAGGTATTATATATACTCACTGGCAATCACTTCAGCGAGCCAAAAACCTTAAACCTCTGAACCAAAAACCCCTTAAACCTCCCTTTTTAAAAAACAAACAAACAAACAAACAAACAACAAAAAACAAAACAAAACAAAAAACAAAAAACAAAAAAAAAAAAAAAAAAAAAAAAAAAAAAAAACCTTAAACCTTAAACTGTGATCTCTTTTACAGAGTGAGATTGTATCTCATTTCTCATCTATGTACTCCTGTAATTAATCCTGACCACAAGAAATTTCATTTTAAATAAAGGTCTCTTCAAGACCACATTTATCATGATAAAGTGCAATTCATGTTTCAATCCCTTCATTTTAAGTCATTGCCTCTGAAACTGCAGGTGACTGCAGTGATTTAGTTCTACATTTAGAACCACACTCTCACATTCCTGATAGTAGGACCATTTTGTGAGTGAGCTGCCAATCACTAATATTCTCTACCCCACTTCCACGCCCCCCTAAAAAGGAACATAAGGAATGGAAGGCTCATTTCAATCTGTGTTTTCCCTATTTCTGAGGTATGACTGTAAATGGAGACAAAGTGACATGCCTTTCCAAATCTCCCCAACACCATGAGGTAGTATAACTAAGTCAAGCAAGCCATACTGCACAGAATAAAAGCAGCTCCATTTTCACACCTACTTGCCAGAAGGCATCATGTAAGCAAAACAGGAAGGACAAAAAAAAAAAAAAAAAAAAAAAAAAAAAAAACAGTCTGAAGAGGACAGGGATCACATCCATACTACATGCTAGGAGCATGCAATCCAAACTTATCATAACCCAGGCAGTCCTATTATACCTACAAGCTTTTGAGTACTCTGGTCTGGGTACACAGTTGATCAGCAAGACACCACCTGAAAAGACCCCCATAGCTGAGACGGTTAACCACAACCCAAAAGCAGGCCACTTTTTCAAGCCTGTACAGGTGCTGTGGATCATCAGACACTTTCCAGCAGACCCAGCAGCATTTGCCCAGACTAGAGAAATGACTGGTGCTATGTAAAAATAAGTCCAAAGCACACTTGTTTATTTTAAGCAGCTACTTCAAAAACCATTGAAACAGAGGAAAGAGAATGTAAAGGCACCATTACAGTTCAACTATACAGTGAGAGGCTCTGAAAAGACACTACAAAAATGTTGATACACTTTATATGCTGTATATGGTCCCTATCACAGAAGCCAGGCAGTTTGAAGAGGTTGCTTTTAATAACCTTCCTAAGCCTTTTCACTGCATGGCACTGAGAGGATCTTTTTTTCTTCAAATCCCAAGCACCCTCCAAACATGGGTCATTGCAAGCTGCATGGTGACTCAAGAAAGATGTTTCTACTTATTCAGCTGGTGTAATTACCATCAAGGTGAAGATAATTTTTATTCCTGAGGTAATACAGGTTCTAGATCCAAAACTATAAGCCATGATAACCTTCCTGTTGCTGTCTCTTCTGTACTTTGGATATGCACTGCTAAGTCAGTTAAATACACTGGGTCAACAGTGATGTGGTATAACACTTCCAAAATGCAGAGCCAGAGGACTGTCACAATATATGCAGCAATCTGTCCTCTTGTAAATTATGCAGCAAGGTGACTGTGATGAAATGAACGCATTACCTGATAAAGCCATTTTCAATCCTTTCAATATCTTCATCAGCCGTTCTGACAGACAGTCTGTGCGTACCAGGGTAGGAGTGCTGGGTGTTGATCTTTGCCATTTTGCTTTACATATCAACATCTAAATGATACCTGAAACAAAAGAAGAAAAAAAGCATTTTGTGAAGGCTGCAAGAGTAATGTGATGAATTCTTAAAAACAGTGATTTACTAAACCAACACAGTGTAAACAGCAAATTCAACCATTCAAAGCATAGCCACTGGTATTTACACACGCAATATGACAGCCATTCCCTGACTTATTTGCACTACACTTCTCATTTGAAGAAGAAAAAATGCTAGTAAAAGTGTAACAACAGAAATTCAGTGCGACAAAGAAAATCCATCACAGCCAAAGAAAAGGTTTACCTGACACTATTCTTTTTTGTCTCTAGGATTTCTGAATATCCACATTGTCATGCATATTATCCATAGTAAAACTGCATTTAACATCTCATTAAAAGAAGATTTGCATTTTAAAATTTCATTAAAATAAGATTACCATTAGACAGTCAACCAAATAAGTTTGGTGATAATATGTGTAAGGACAACCAATTCCACTTTAAGTCAATCCCCTTGTGCTAAACAATATCTATTTTATGATGAAGCTGTTTATTCTGAAATTGCATACTGACCAAACAGATAATTAATTTAATCTATCCCTCAGCTTAACACACAACATGCGTTAATCCTATATTATCTAAACTCTGCACTAAGGCTTACTCATCATTTTTCCGTTGCTTTCTAATATTATTTTTGCTACAAGTGTTTCAAGACAAGCTGTGTTAAGGTATCTACCTGCCAAACTTCTATGAGATCTAGAAAAGTTATTCACCTAAATTCCTTTCCAGATTTGTCCCTCAGTGCCTTAGTGACATTAGTAAATCTAATTCATATCACATTACCTGCAAAACAAGTTTTAAGAGTCAAGACAAGTACCTTCAAAATGGCAGACTGAAAGATTTTCAGTGAAAGTTATTAATTCTAAATATATTAAGTATTGAAACTCCATCCAGGAACCTTTTATATTTGAGACATGCTGGAATCAAATTCTGTTGGGATGCCTCAGACCATCTATTGTCCTTTTCTTGCCTGTAATCCCATCTCACAGACCATATACCATGCAACTTTAGCAGCAAATGAAATACAGCTCTTACAGAAACTACATTTCTCCCGTGTTATTGCTGAAGCAAACTCATCATTGGCTATTAGATCTATGTTATGCATCCAGTTTCCTAAAAAACAGACGCTTCACTTACCCTCTACCCCATTTCAAGAGAACTAAAGGGAATCATACATAACATTTAATATTATTTAATATATTTCAAAATATAAACCAGATCAACTTAAATTTTGCATCCAGACATAATGAAATGGGTCTAGAAATAGTCCCCAGTTATCATACTTAACTCTTGGAAACCTGGTTAGTGTTTCTCATTTTACCTCATTATAGCTCAACTGATACCTAACTGTGTCAGTTTTTAAATGCATATCAGCTAACTTAAGCTTATATAGGGGAAAAAAAAAAAAAAAAAAAGCATTTCTATGACACACTGATATAAAAAAATAAAAAGAGGTCTTTCAACCCACTCTCACATTTGAATGTTCACTCAGAAGAACTGATTCCTGAAGCAAAGATAATTTATGCTAAAAATATATCTACATATAAAAATATTGACTGAAACATTCTTACAAAATCAATAAATTTTGTATGTTCAAAAAGCATTTTGAATTGTTACTGTATATACATTATAAATATCAATGAATATGATTTGCTTTCAAACAATTCAGCCTTTGAGAAAGAAATATTTTAATAAATTAACCAGCTAAATTAATTTGTTTCAAAGTAGATATGGTACCAAAAATATTTTATCTTCAGGAAAATTTTTCATTAATTATTTTTGAGTTATAATTATAGCTTCTATTATATACCTGCTGCCACAGAAATAGATAGGTGCTTTGGTGATTAGAATGCTTATTTTGCCCCAGCAGTGAGTATTTAACTCCCATTTCCCAAATATTAATTTGAACATAATTTGAGATAAGATTAAAATGTGGTTTTCCTTTAGTCATTACTGATTTCTTTCAAGTTCAGCATACCAAAACCTGCAAAAGTAGCCTACCATTTATGCTCTCACTGCCCAGGTCCCAAAACTTGATGTTATAATGGGAGGCTACAATGCAGTAAGCAGGGAGTTATGAGCACTTCATTTAAAAACAGAGCAGCATGCTTCCTGCTGGCAAATTATTGTGCACAGACAAAAGGCACAGCAGCAAATTGCTTCTTCCTACTAATACTTTCTCTTGCTGCCTGTTGCATTTCCACTGCTTAAAGCTATACAAAGTCTAACGAAAGGGAGCTTTGGAGTAAGGTGGCATGAGTTGCTTGAATTTTACTGTGCTGCATAGTCCCTGCTCTCCTTTAAGGCTCAGCCAAATCATTTTTTTCTTTAAACCAAAACAGAATTCTCCATCACATTGCAGGAGCGTTATCACTCTTCCACCCAACAGCATCATGTATTCCCCATGTACCTCATTAGACTTCCACTTCATTTGACTTCAAAGTTTTAAAAACCTGATGGTGAGAAAAGCAGAATGATTCATAAGTAACAAAGCACTGACTTTGTTCTAAAGATGCTTTTCCAACACAAAGTTAGTACTGAGTTAAGGGCTTCACTAATTCTGCCAGCTAACACAACAATAACCCCGTCATTAGCTGTGATGATTCACAATCAGATTGATGTCTATCTACAGCAGTTTTTAAACTAAAGTCACCTGGCTTATGATACGCAACAAAATGAGTATCTCTGGTAAGACAATAGGAGCATAAGATAATAACAACTTTCTGAAATCTAGGGATGACGTAGCCAATTTGCTACCAGCAACAGGTACTACCTCACTGAAAAGAGACATTGCCTCTGTAAGTGTATCTGTAAGCTTGAAACTGGCATGGCTTCTCCAGATGTTACTAATCTCCTGGAATTAGATATTACTAATCTGGAATTAGACACCACTAATAGATGCTGGATATTGCTAATCTCCTGGGATGCTTTGAATACGCCCGTGGAGTAGTGAGTACAGCAAAGTGTTGCACTCTTTATTTAGCCCTTCAAAAGCTGGACTACTGAAGAAACAAAACAAGCTGCTGGATATAAAACCAACACTACTTTGGAAGAGAAGCTAGCTAAGAAGATGGAAAGCAACAACAGGATTAAACAGTCAACCTTCACCACTGCAGAAGTTTAAGAACAATATTCCTCAGGCTTCCGTATGAAAACCTGTCACTAATGGTGTGGATGAAAAGAACTTCAGAACTTCAGCGGTGAGACAAGATGTCAGGATGGCAAAAAGTACAGCAGAAACAAGAGGAGTGCAGGGAACTTCAACTAAATCAATTTCTCAACTTGACGGCAAATGACATGCAATGTAGGGAAATGCAAATCAATGCATGCTGGTAAAAAGCATGTAAACTACAACCGTATGGGCTCCCAAACTGACTGTGTGCTCTCACAAAGGGAACATTATACAGGTACAGCTCAGCAAAATGCCCTGCTCAGTGCCAAGCAGGTCTGCTGACACAATAGCTAACAAGATGAGGAAAGATGTATACATAGGTAGTGTTAATAACACAAAGAACGTGAAAACTGCTCCATGAAACAACAGTCCAGACCCATCTGGAATACTCTTAGTCCTGCCCTTAAACAAAATATGCCACAGAACAAAAGCATGGCAAGGATGATCAAGAAAGTCACTGGATAAGAAGCTCTTTATTATTAATTATAATTATATTTATTGTAGATATTATGTTATTATAAAAGCCTTAGATTTTATTATAAAAGAAAAATATGTGAGCAAATGGAGCTCATTTCAGAGCCCTTACAGTGATTTCAGCTGTAAAACGTCTTCGATGTACACAGCAATCTGAACCCCTATTCTGCACTAGAACGGAGGAAAGGAGAAGGGAAAAAAAAGTCATAGAAATACAAGCCCACCATTAAGCAGTAAAGCATATTCATGTATTTTTGGAAGGAAGTAGGAAGAGTGGATGGAGGTTCATTATTAAATTGTGTCATGCAAGCCCAGCTGTGATAGAGGAAGATGGAGCACAGGACTGGCAGAAATAAACAGTGCAGGGATTTGGGTACAGGGAAGGTGGTGAGACCTCCTGAATAAACATAGTTGGCCTTGCATGAAGCACATGAAATTCTGACAAATTACAGGCCAATAAAGAAGTATTTGTTCCTTCTAGACCTCCAAGGTTCCAGAAAATAAGTGTGTTTTGAAATGCTTATCTCCTCCAAATTCCATGAAATTGGATCCAAAGCCAGCTAGAGACTGTCTAGGCAGCAGCTCACAGTGAGCATTGTGCTGCCAGGAGTCAGCCAGCAGGAAAACGCTGCAGTGGTGTGAGGCTCCTCACAAACCTTCTGGAGGGCTCTTCAGACAGCTCCAGATGAGGTCCGCAAGCCTAAACCTTTAATGAAAAGTGGATGCTTACAAGACCGTTTTAAGGATTGCACAAAGCTCATCTTTGTATTTTAAGACAGTTACTGCGGTGGGTTGGCTGCCAGCTGCTTTCTCACTCCTTCTCCTCAACAATCCAGGGGAGAAAGTAAGATGACAAAGCTCGTAGGTTGACAAAGACAGGGGAGTCACCTACCGAGTAATGTCAAGGCCAAACAGACTCAGCTCAAGGAAAATTATTGTAATTTATTGCAAATTAATACAATAGAGTTGGATGGTAACAGACAAAAACAGCTTTCCCCTCCACCCCTGCTTTTTTCCCCAAGCGCATAGGTACACTCAATGCTCTGAATATTTAACACTAGACATTACACTGAGGGTAAAACTTGACTGCCTAAAGGCTGACATGTCTGATAAATCCATGGTAGGCACAAAAAACAGGTATTTAGCTCACAAGAAAGTTAACTAGATACAGAGATAGATAAGCAAATATGTAGGTAGTAAGGTAAGCAGGTAGGCAGACAGTCCTGCAAGCCTAAGCCTAGTTATCCAGTTTGGGGCAAGAAATTTGAAGAACTGGATCCTTGAAGCATCCTCATGATTTTTAATTTTCCAGAACTCGGTGACTTATATTTAAGCACGCTAAGTCAAAACACAGAAAACAGAAACTGCCACAGGTTGCCACAACTTTTCAGAAGTGAAGAAATTTCTAGTGCTGGAAAGCAAAATAAAACCTATCCAAAATAATCTAAGTTCTTGAAGGACTGACATCTTTACCTGTGACTTACGCAGGGTTCTCACATGCTTCCTCAGTCAGTATTTCTTTCCTTGTTACCAATCACACTAACCTGAAAGAGATAATAATAATTCCACACTCCATTATACTGCTTTTTGGTGCGTAAATCACTGAGAATGAAAAAAGAGACAAGTGAGAAGTATGTATTATTTCACTAAAAATATAATAAATTACACATTAGTGATAGCTCTCCCAATTCCAAATGCGAGTAGTCCAAGTATGTTCAGTCCTCTTCCTTCTAGATTAAGCTGCAACTGAGGTTTTATGTCAAATTATTTTATATGCACTGTTTGGTATAGAAGACCCATTTTATCAAGACAGCCAGTTGTCTAACAGCAAACATGAGCTCAAGTGGCAAATGAAAGCTTCAGACTCACATAAACATTTCCTAATTCTGAAAACTAGGTAGGTCCTATTAATTTCTTCATAATATTAAAGACGTAGGACTAAAGGTACAAAGGTCGCAGGATGCATCTGTTAGGAACGTCACCATCCAGTGGCTTTCCCAAGTAGAGCACCCAGGCTTCCTACAGAAGGCGTGCAGAAAATCGGGTACCCGAGAATAAGATGCTGGGAAGGAACACCAGCCAAGAGGAAATGACTGAAGCTAAAATGGGGGACTGAAAATCACCAGGCATCTAACTCCTGGCCAAAAGCGACTGCCAAAACAGACGGCAGGACACACTCACGTGTACGTTCTCATAAATTTGCTGTACTCTGACAATACACACTAGGGCAGCTGCCGGGCTGGCCTCTGGGCAGCTTCATGGCTTAGGATTTTGACAATTCTGCACATGCCCAGCAGAAACAAACAAACGAATTAAAAACACACAGGTATACATTTAAATGTTACACATTACATCAAATTTAGGAAGTTGCTGGCTATCAGCTAAGCCACCGAATCCAACTAGGTAGGTAGCCTGTCAAAATTGTGCAATACCTATGAGTTGAAACATCTGTGAAAGAGGCTGGATTTAATATATTCTCCCTCCACCAAGATGCCATGTTTGAGCTACTCTAGCAGTTCCCCTTCTGGACAAAATATGTTAACTCTCTATAAATCAATTCTAAAATACCAACCAAGCAAATGTCTATTAAAACTTCTGATGTGAAACAAACATCACTGTTTATCAAATAATGATGCCAGATCAAGCTGTTTACACAACCACTTAATATTCTTAATTTTTTTTTGTTTAGATGGAAAGGACTACGAATAGATAATATGACAGAATTTTAAAAGAGTTTTTCAAGGTGAATTATTTATCACTGCCACAGAGTAAAGGTGATTTTATATCTGACTTTATGATGGATCTTATGTGATTGTGTAGTTGGTAATATACAGTTATTCCTGAGGCTGTGAAAAATGTTTCACTTATTGCTTTGGAAGCAGTGATAAGCTGCATCAGATCGCTTACATCATTTTAGTTAAAACACTTTCTAAATCCTCACAGAGCCTCATGGGTTCAACCCTGGTAAGTCCTTGGGATTTATTTTGGGATTTGACCTCCACCTACATAATCCTTGTTACATCACTTTGCAGTAGTTGTAGTTCAGCTGTACATGAGTGGTGTATTTTATTCATGACAGTCAGCACTTCAACCAGTACAGGCAAATGTATCAACTAGTACGGGCAAAAATGGATTTCTAGGACTGGAGAACTGGACCCTGAGGCAACTGTATGATCAGTGCAACTTTTTCTTTCAGTGTCTTAGAGCTTTCTAAATTAACCTGCAGATTTAACTCTGGCAAACTCTCATGGAAATTAGCTTTGTGTAAAGGCTACTGGAACAAGTCCAAGGGGTTGAAAAAATAATAAGCAGGCTGCACCACCATGCCCTCATCAACCATGATACCTAGCAGCTTAAAACACCAGTTCTTAAACCCCGTGAGCTCTTTCAAAATTACCATTTTTATGATTATCTGCCAAGACATTGCATTTTTAATAGTCCATGGACACTGTCTCCTGGAAGTACGTGTCATTTATATGCACAGCCCAGCAACCCCACTACTGAAGATCTGTCCAACAAACACTTTTCCTCATAGGTACTCCAGGATGCGCATGGATTATGACACTGCTTATTCATATAATTTATAGTTTCAGAATGAAATTAATATGATTATCCTTGATCCATTTGATGGCTAGGTGCTTGATGCCTTAAGGTAGCAAAACAATATTTTAAATAAATGGAATTATTTGGTTTGGGCTTCCCTCTATACCTGTGAATTATTAGCAACATGTGTCAATTTTCTAAGATTTACTTTTTTTTTTTTTTCTCAGCACATTTTCTGTGAATATGTTATTCTTAAACTGGAAACTGTTGAGCAGAAAATGACTGTGTATATTGAGCATAGTATTGTAAATTACAGCACAGTAAGTTACAAATTACAGTTGACTGGACAACCAAGTCACATTGTGTTCTTTCTGTTGCCAGTAATGACACAGGTATCCACGTTTATGTATGGAAAACAAGCTCTGCAAGGCTTCTCTAACTGCTAGCTAAAATTTAGCAGTTCTGCCAACATCTTTGTTAGTGCAGTTACTGTTAAAAGTAAACAGAAGAGGGGAATGAATGTAGCTAAAACATGTCAGATTCACTGTAACGGTATTTACAAAATACATCTAAATGTATACATGTGTATGAACGCTACCCATTCCAACTTGCTGCCTTCCCTCTCTCTGTAAACTACCACAGCCATCCCGCTTGGCTAGGAAAGGAAAGCAGGAGAGGCAATTTGTGCCATGTCTCACACGCAGCAGCAAGGCTTTCAGCAGAAGGGGATTTAACAGATGCTAATGCAAAGAGATGGCAACACTGGAGAAGCCTGCAGGATAACGTGCTGAACTGAAATGACAGAGCTTGGGTGCAAACTGGATGACAAAGGCTGGGATGAGCTGAGGCACTCAGGAGGCAAAGCTGAGAGGCTCTGACATGGAAGCATGGTGTGTAATTTCATAAAGCTGATGTGCTCTTCTCTCGTACCGTTCACTGCTTGTTTACCGCTGATTACCTTTGCTGCTTAGACATCTTGACAGTCCCGTTATCATCTGAACTGTGATTTTTTTTTTCTAATTGGGTGGTTTTGGCATGAACACTCAAAGAAAATGATATATATTAAAAAAAATAATAATAATAACTGTGCAGAATAAAGACAAAATCATGCTATTGCAAAAGCTAACACTTGAAACTCAAATTTACTCAACTGTAACAATATAAATTACAGATTTTTAAATATAATAGTCCTCTTACTCCTTGCTTTGATTGAAACAACTCTGAATGTAGAAAATACAGTGAAAATTGTTCATTATTAAACAGTACCAACATTTGCATTGAAAATCATTTTTCCAGGGATCTGAAGCAGCGTTCAAGTCATTTTTCCTCGTCTTCTCTTTGGCTTTTAGCAAGTGAGTAGAGTATGCTTTAGAGAAAGATGCTGCTTATGCTAATTATTGTACCCTGCATGCTCTTAGGCGTGCCATGGACTGGTTTACACCTCGCACGTTTTGCAAGACACGTCACATCGCTCAAAACAAGACCAATTCAGTGGGAGCACCAGGAACCCCAAGAAAGGAGCTTGCCCTGTGGCGTTTGCTACCATGCCCTTGGCACCCCACAGGCAGCAGGCAGCAGGTGCCTTAGGCACTGAGAGTGGGGCGATTCCCCTCGACCCCACAGATCTTTGTGTGAACGAATGAATTAATGCTTAAAATAAAAAAGAGCATGAAAGTTACGCCTCCCCGGCAAACTTGTGCGCCCAGCAAGGGCAGGCGGAGAGGGGCGGCAGCCCCACACCTCCTCCTCCAACTCACCCGTGGCGCTCTCCGTGCCGCTGTCGGCGCTCACAAACTCCCTCCCTCCGCCCAGACCGGGCGAGCGATAGAGCGATATCTCGATATCCGCGGCGATATCGGCGGCTCCGGCTCCTCTCCGGCTCCGGAGCTCCCCGGTGGGGCCGGGCCCGGCGCGGCCGCCCCCGGGCGGATTAGGGCCAAAGCCCGCCCGCCTGAGCCCGGCTCAGAGGCAAAAGCCGCTCCGAGGGCTCGGCGATCCTGTTAAGTTCTCGGAAGGGATCAAAACGTCAGAGCAGCCCGCCGGGTGCTCATGCCCTCCTCCTCTTCCTCCTCCTCCTCCTCCTCCTCCTCCGGCGGCCGGGCGCCTCAGCCCCTCGCTGCCCCCCATGCTGAGGGGAGAGGGAGGGCGGGGAGGCTCCGCTCGCTCCCCTCTCGCCTTCCTCCTCCTCATCTTCCTCTTCCTCATCTTCCTTCTCCTCATCATCATCTTCCTCCTCATCGTCATCTTCCTCATAATCATCATCTTCCTCCTCCTCGGCCTCGTCAGCGGGCAGCGTGAGGGAGCAGGTGAAGCCTCACCTGAGGTCCGTGAAGGCTTTCACGCTCCCCTGAACTTCTTCCCCTGACTCCGGTGCTGCTGTTCACAGGGTCCTGAGAAGATGGAAACGACGTGCCGTGTGTGAAGGCGCCATAAAATGACCACTCGGCTGGAAAAAGAGCCAGCAAAGCCACGTCGTTTGTAGCTGAGAGGCTGTTGCACCTTGCTGCACAACGTCAGTTCAGCTAGACTGAACAAAACACGACTAGAAATGCGTGTAAGTGCTCGGGTCTGTGGAGAGGGAACGAATTACTCACTGCTCTCCCCGCTCTAGAAAATTATTTTACATATGAAAGATTAAGCACATCACACGCTACTCAGAGGAAAAAGCTTAAAACTCTTAAAAAACACAATCAGAAATTCAAGGTCTACTTTCTCAAGCAGCTATCACGTCAGTCTTCAGAGCAACACGGTGTTTGTTTGTTGATCGAAATAGAAATGTCCAGCAAGGCAGCAAGCATTTGAAGAGCATGTTTTTGCTTTTCCTTTGCTGCTCTATTGGTCCCTAGAGACCTCCAGGCAGTATTTTGGAAGTGCAGGCGTGGGAGCTAGCCTACCAGGGTGCACGACCTGCCAGGCTGCTGTCTTTCCTGGTGAGGCTCAGGAACTGGTTGAACTTTACAGGTGCTACATTTAGATATGCACTGTTTGCGTATCCTGGCTTCCTGTTACAAGGCCTAGTCATGCACATTGCCCCCATGTTCTGTTTGCTACATGAAAGGAGCTTGGGCAGGGAATTCAGGAGAAACCTATGGAATTTTTCCAAAGGTCTCAGATCTGGATAGCAAGAGGGTTAGGACTTGTGGTTGCATTGCAACTTGTTTCATCACCAAAGTCTGGAACCCGGTTTAAAGGCTAGTGCTGATGAACACAAGGGAAGGAAGTCTACAGAGTCTGCAATTTTAGAGAGGACAAGTTCTCATCTAGCACATATTACTGCTTTTTGGTAGGGGGATGCTACTTCCTTGGTTTGGACACAGTTGGCTTCAGCTTGGTATTTGGCCCAGAAATGTGTAAATTTGCAACATAACTGCTATTTTTGGCACCTAACCTTGGTAAAAATTACCCCATGTATATATTAACCATTTAAGGGAGGCAATCAAAAGTAAATTATACATGCACACACAAAAACACAGTTCTGTCCAGTGACTCACATCCCTCCCAGATGCAAGCAAAGCATTTCTAAAGGACATGGGATAAGATTGTTACTTCCCAAACAAGCCTGTTAGGGGAATGATTGTAAGAGCTAATAATGGAGAGTAGTAATGGATGCTGTTCGTCTTTAATATGTGCCAATGAGACCTCCGTGTATTGGGCTTCATATCTGACTGGCTAGAAGCAATGTTCTTGTAGTGATAATGATGAAATCTGACAAACTCTATCACAGATTTATGAAACGTGCTTAGGTTTATGAGAGAGCAAAACAGTGTCTTAATCAAAGTATTCAGAAAAAACCTTCAACCCTCAATCTTTCAGTGACATTCCGGTTACATGAAACATTCCTGGATGATTCAATAGCTGATTCAAGCTCCCCATATAATGACATTCTTGTTTAAGTATCATCAGATGTCTTCTCCTACCATTAGTTAAATATAGAATCATGGAACAGTTTGGGTTGGAAGGCCCCAGAGCTGAACATGATAATCACAGAATCACAGAATTGAAGGGGTTGGAAGGGAACTCAAAAGATCATCAGGTCCAACCCCCCTGCCAAAGCAGGCTCCTCAGAGCAGGCTGCCCAGGTAGGTGTCCAGACGGGCCTTGAATATCTCCAGAGAAGGAGACTCCACAACCTCCCTAGGCAGCCTGTTCCAATGCTCCGTCACCCTCACCATGAAGAAGTTCTTTCTCATGTTGGTGCAGAACTTCCTGTGCTCTATCTTGTGGCCATTGCCCCTTGTCCTGTCCCCACAAACCACTGAAAAGAGGTTGGTCAAATCCCTCTGTCTCCCACACCTCAGGTATTTGTACACATTGATGAGATAGATCCCTGCTCAGTCTTCTTTTCTCCAGGCTGAACAGACCCAGGTCTCTCAGCCTTTCTTCATAGGGAAGATGCTCCTGGCCCCGTATCATCTTTGTGGCCCTCTACTGGACTCTTTCCAGGAGATCCCTGTCTTTTTTGTACCTGGGGAACCCAGAACTGGACACAGTACTCTAGGTGAGATAAAATGAGGTTAAAGAAGAAAAAATACAAAAGCATAACAGAGCATAATATAAATGGTCTTCTTTTTGTTAAACTGGATGTGTTTCCTAATACTCTACATCTATTCAAGCATTTTATCTATCAGATGAAGTTTTTCTTCAGAGAAAATTATTCAGGGGCAGTCAGTCATACTAGCTCTCTGCCACTGCAGACCTTGACTTTAGGCTCAAACACAATTTTGCAAATAAAACAAGGAGAGTTCTTAAAAGTGGTTAACTATTTGGAAGAGCCTCCAGGGAAAAAACATATGGATGTTTCTGACCAATGGAAATCAGTGAAATGCCTTCTCAGTGAACTACACAAAGGAATGATATTTCAGATATCTGAGCAAATACTCTCTCCCTATGAACTCACTATACTTGTCCCAAAATAGAAAACCTCAGTAGATAATTCAGCTGCCTTAACATAAGGGTCTGGTTCCATTTTAGATACCCCAGTGCACCCTGCTTAGCTTCCAGTTGCATTTCCAAGAGGGTACAAGTCTCCCATAGATCCTGTGTCATGTATACAAGTTCCACTCAGCTGTTCCCCGTACTTCAGAGCATATCAAACAGCATTACATCTGTATTTATGCAACTGAAACCCATCCCCAAGTCACAAGTCCCTTAAAAATTTTAATCAAAAAATTCATCTTTTATATATTTTATAGAATTAAATCTCTGAGAGAAAAATGTTTCATAAAGGAAAAAAAAAAATGTTGTATGAAATTTTCCAAACACTTACCATAACATGTGTTTTTGCTTAAAAATGTTATTTTCATTTCTAGGAATTAATGCATTGTCAATATACTTTTTTTAATGTAGGATTTTTTTTTTTCAATGTTTAGGTGAAGCTGAATTACATAAGTTTTAGAATAGGTAACTGATTTCTCAAAATGAAAATGGAGCATACTAGAAGTACATAAAAGTTACAGCATGCACTGATTGTTTTCCTTTCCCTCTCTTGGGTTCTTCCTGGAGTAGTATGCATGGTTTAAGAGAAAAGTCATCATTCACTGTAGAAATACCAGTCCTACACTTACAGTTCTCTGGAGGGTTCAAAGCCTTAATTAAAGCCTAAAATTCCAGCTACAATATTCTTTATGCAGGTTGTTAAAATAAATACCAAAGATACAAGCAACATTAAGTGTTCTCCATTAAGTGTGCTACCTTATCTGCAGCTTTCCAGTTGAGTTAGAGGCATGACACATTTCTTCCTCAAAACAGGACTTGTCCTGGAACAACAAAGATTTTACTGGTGCCAAATCAAAACCAAGCTGGGAGAGTGCAGCCACCCTCACACTGATGTGGCAATCTGGGATGAGAAGCCATTCAGAACAATGACTGTTGCTAGCACAAGATACCCAAGACAAGGTGCTCCATGCCACCCACAAGGAAGGGGGGATGATTCCTGCCACTGCAGAAAAATATGTGATTAAACCATCTGTTGTCCAAATAGCAAGGCATGCACAACAGTAACAGTGAACATGGGCCAAAAGGAGGACCAAGCTTTTGGAGACAGTAAGAAAGGGTGAGGAAGAGAAGGGGAAGAAAATCAGGAAAAAGTGGGATTAGTTGGAAGGGGATAAAGAGAAGACAAAGTGGTAGCAGAGCTCCTTACAGCAAGAAATTGAACCACTGTTATAAAGGATGCAGGAATCAGTGACTGAAAAGCCCAAGACAAGATCAACAGAAGGCCTAAACTTGCTGCAAGTTTATGAAGGTTTGTATATATGCTCACAATACTGGCCAGGTCACCAAAAAAAAAAAAAAAAAAAGAGCTACTTTACACCACAGATACAAAGTATGAAAGTATGTGCTAGAGACCTACACAAGGTGAGGGGAGGCTGATCTGATGGTAGGGAGCTGCTGATCCGCCTGTCCCTCCTTCTAGTCCTCTTGCACCATTTGCTGATGAGATACAGGGACTGCTGAGGGCATTGCACCACCATGGTGTTCTGCTAGTTACCTTAAAATGCTGGGACAGGCTCTTTTTAACGTTTACCCAAATGAAAATCTGGTTAGCTAAATATGCTGTTTTCCTAAATATTGGTGCATGTTTCAGACATTGATATTGGGACTATCCCTCTCCAAAGGCAGCCTCAGTGGCTGTGGCTAGTAATTATATTTGAAACCATGTCCAAAATTAAATGTAACTAGTTGCAAAGCTCACAGATATAATTCTGCTAAACAATCTCCAGCAGAGATTGAACAAGTGTATTGAAAATGTAGCTGTACAGACAAAACACAGAGAAGCATTTGTATGGAGCCACTAGTGCTGCTCTAAACATACTTGGCCAGTTGCATGAAGTACACAGAAAACTGACAAAAAAGCTCAACTGCAGCTTATTTTCATCAGTCGTTGTCAAAGTAGCAGGCACTGGCAGGCAGAAAAACACCCTGAGTGGTGTTAAATTTGGCAACATTTTTCAGTTCTGATATTTATCCCTATGGGACAATTGTGTTAGTATTCAAAACCTATTTACTAGTAGGTTTCAACCCGCTAGTGTCAGAGTTTGGCCAGTTGTTTAGGTGCTGATGATGACAGAAAAACTAATAAATAAATAAATAACCTTTTCACTTTTCAGTTTCCTGAATTGTTAAATATAAGAGAAAATGTGCTAGTACAGGAAATAAGTATTCCTTCTTTCCAGCATTCTCCTAATTTCATATTTTCTTTCCATGCCTGGCCTGTGCTTCATTTGTACAGTCATTAAACCAGCCCTCTGAGAGCCATCAACAAGTAGGTTTGACCTGCTGACAGCTGCAAGGCATCATGCATCAAAATAGATTTGTTCAGCACCGTGATGCTGATGATTTAACTCACTGACCCAAAATTATTGGTCTCTGATGGTGGAAAACGTAACCATGAATTACCATGTCTGATTTCAACAAAGTATCTTGCAATTCTATATGCAAATTAAGGATCCACATCGTCCACAATTAAGCAAAGCATGGGTGATGGCTTGCAGCTGGAAATTTTAGTCAATAGGAAAGGGAACATCTCTGGCTCTTCAAAATAAAAGAAAAGAAAGAAGG